GGGACGGGAAGGAAAAAATAATATTTTATAGGTTACTATAACGAGGAGAGTTTTGTTTTTTTAAGAAAATGGATCATTTACACCTATTAGACGTTAGAGAAATAAGACTGAAGTCAAAATGAGACTTTGATACTGCATATTGAAATCTGGACAAAACTTCTGAAAATTTTATTGGAAATTTTATTGGTAATTTTACCAATTTTACAAATAAAGTAGACATAACTCCCATATAGCATATTAGTCTAGGCAAGTTGTGTATAGAGAACAAAAGACTAATAATTTAAACCAGTAGTAAGCTTCTGGGAATAATGACAAATTCTTGAATAACAGCTTGCCACAGTAAATGTCACTGCCAACCATTCTGTCTATACTACCAATTATTGGGTCACTTCACATTACCTTAAACAGAAGAGAACATAAAAGTTAATTCATATCATCAATCTTAATAAATAAGAATTTCATGATCACGACACAGGACTACACTCACCCGGACGATCACCCTACACATTCACATGTTGACTGAGACATGGTCTAAATGTTCCTTCTTGAGACTACCTCCAACTCAAGGACACAAAAACAGGATCCAACAATCAAAACTAGTGAAAAATCAGAAATTAGATACCCATCGACCAGAGGCACTCATATGTAAAACCGTAATCTTTGACATTTTTCCTGATTAAAAATATACATGAAAGAATTTCTCAGTTCTGATTGGTTAAGACTGAATGCAGTTTTCAGTTAGTTCAGAGCATAAGAGAGAGTTAATTCAGTGCAGAAGAGGGTTAATTCAGTGCAAAGAAAGAAACAAATCAGACATTCTGATTGGTCAGAATGATTGGTCAATGTCAAGGTCAATGTCACTTGCAGGGTTTGAATGAGTTATTTTTGCACGTGATGCGCACGCTTTTCTTCTACGTAGTATGAGAAGCTACCTCGTATTTTTTCATGTATATTATTAATACATAATCACATGGTTTTCTCGTGCAATTTGGAATAAATAAGCAGTTTTAAATTTTTTTTTCAAACACACAAATTGCACTCGCCCTACGCGCTCATGCAATTTTGTTAGTCTTTGAAAAAATTTACTCGTGCTTATTTATTTCAAATTATCGAGACAGCATAAAGCAAATCGTTATCTTCAAGAAGAGTACGACATTTTTTAATTTCGAAGACATGTTTCGATGTTACGAACATCATCGTCAGTTACAGACTATTTGAAAAACCGTTAGCACTCGAAATCATGTGATTACCTTTACAAAATGAATCGAAGTCCAAAACAGTGCGCGTGCACAACGTGTACTCAGTCCAAATACACACCGTCATACGGAGATAAAGCATCATCATTTTATACCAGCTTGTTGAGAACACTTTCCTGTTAGTGTTCAAGTCGGGGTGACCAGTTGCATTTACTAATACCTAACTATAGGTATAATAGGACCAAGTGGGGCCCAATTCGGTCTGTTATCACACCGGTGATTAAAAAAATCGAACGACCGCCAGGAATAAGCGTGATTTGTTAATCACGAGTGCGATCAATGACCGAATCGGTCGACACGAATTCTTGTTACCAATTAACTCACTTTAACCCTTCCTATTTCCTAAGATGGACTTGCAATTCCAAAATTGAGACACTCAACTTCAGCAATCTTGGTAATTTTGGATGGCAAGACGTTGCTGTAGTTACTGTAATCCACGCCATTCTGTGATTATTGAATCCATTTGAGTAAATCGCAGCGCAATCGAAAACGTCCGATTACGAACAACCATCCTATTACACTGTCATTTTAGTTTTATCAACTGAGTTGATAATGTGAATTGGCCACCGTAAAGAGTTTAAAAGCTGACGTTTGACGAAGGGCTAACGCTCGAAACGTTAGCTTTGAAACTCTTTACGGTGGCCAATTTACGTTATCATCTCAGTCGATAAAAGCAAAATTATTTTGTACTCCCCCACCGACGCTACACCACAGTTTCTTTAGAAATTTACCCCTTAATGAGACTGCACTGTCTAATTACAATTCTATATAATAATTGAAAAATAAAGCAGTTCATCTGCCAATCGCATTCGAAGAAATTGCAATGGTTCTAATAATATGTAATAATTTGGATATATCAACAAATTTGAAATGGTAAATTGGCCACCGTAACGATTACAAAAGCTGACGTTTCGAGCGTTAGCCCTTCGTTACCCCCACCGACGCAGCCCCAAACAGTTTCTTTAGAAACTATCAGCCTTGGTTCTATTATGTAATGTTTTGCTTATGTGGCAATCTGCATTAGTGAGAGACACGCAGTCGTTTTGAGTCTTTTACGCAAGCGCGTGACGCTGTCTGGGCGACGTGGTAATTGTGGTTTTCCAGGTTTTCCAGAATGTTGTTGGTGTCAGTGTAGCGATGTACTAAAGAGGTTATGGAGTTAGGCGAGAGTGCGCTTGTCAAGTTTCGAAAAAAAATACGGAGAAAAATACTACATGAAAGAAAATGATGCATATTCAAGCAAAAAAAAGGCTGAATAAAATTTGACAGGAAACACTAGAACGTAAATGTGGTTTTGAAAATAAGTTGCGGCAGCAAAAGCTTTTGTCAAACCAAACGAAGAGCAAAAGACATAAAAATTATTCTGAATTTATTGATCAGCCGCGGTTTGAAGCAGGTTAAACGACCAAAACAAACATCATGCTCGTTGACCTACAGTCCAATTAAGCGTTTTTAGACTTTTTAGAGGCTATTGTGTGAAATCTGTTCCAATTTCTTTTTTTTCCTCAAAGTGGCATGCGAATTCCTTGACGCTTATCAATTGTTTCAGTCTGAAAGGCATTGTGTATTTGCCCATTTCTCAGTTCTTCTCTTTTAACAACACATTTCGAGCGATAATTTTACTCGTTCGATCGGCCCTTTACAAAACGGAAAATGAAGTGTTGCTTTTGTTGGTGGTTTCCTTGACGAATGTTGCAGCGTTAATTAACCACGTGGACACAGTGTAGTAAAAAAGATGCAAAATACAATGCTACTCTGAACTCAATATCATTGGTGAAATAAGCGAGACCCAATAGTATAGTTTAATTTCAAACAAGCGGAAAACTCAGAGTAATCCACGATCTTCATTAATTGATAAGGCAAATATAGATTAACGTTAATTTTTTTTTTTGTCGGAATAGTCATAAGCAAGGGATTATAGTTCATAATCTTATAATCTTATAATCTTGTCATAAGATATCTTCATCTATATTCACGAGTTCGCAAGTTCAGACTAAAGCTAATGTACAGCTATGATTTTTGTGGGAACTAAGTTGGTCAGCATTAATGTCACGGGCTCATGCGATGAATGCCGTTTTCTGCATGCGTCCTTGATGATCACATTAGCATATTTTAAAAGTGTTGTTGATATATTTTGCAGAAGAAAGTGACAATGCGAATTAACCTCTTTAAAATTTGTAAAAAATCTCCTCGAGTCAATATAGCTGACATTGCTTATTTTCCAAATATAATTTTTACGAAAATATCTAACAATATATACGTACGATAAAATGTGAAAATCTGTCTGAAAAAAAAAATTTTTTTTTTAAACGAGTTGCATCAAATGTTTTTGACCATCCCTGCTTAAAATAAGTAAATTAAAAAATGATACCATTGGAAAACAATGCGTTCAAATTTGAATTGGATTAGTCTGGCTCTAGATAGATTTTTTCGTCTTTACATTACCATGATTATTATCTAAAAATATTTTTAGGCGGCTTTAGAAAGAGAAATGTGGATGAATATTTGCGTATCCTAGAGGCGCTTATAACTTTACGCTCAACAAAGCAATGTGTATTTATGGTCAGTGTACGACATTTAGCTGCGCGCAAACGGCAAAACAATAAAATAATTGTACTAATAAAAATGACACGTAAAAAAAAACTTGAAATGTGAACTCAATAATTTTTTTTTTTTAAAGAATATTGTGCTTCTCTGACAAACGTTTCAAGTGACTGTTTTCGCCGAGCGTGGGTGTTTGAAGCGTGCCGCTAGCGAGACATTCGATTCTGACTGCCTTCAATTTATTTTAACTGGCCATTGTACATGAAGATCTGTTCACATCTTGAATAATAAAGTGGATAACCGCTGATAACGTTTAGAAAAATCGCCGATATTTAAAGGAAAAAAACTAAGAATCTCTTATTTCAAAGCTGCATTTGACAACCATCGAATTGCCGCTTCTTAGTCAGTCGTGTCGAATGCCACGTGACTTCAGTTTAACAGTTCAAAGCCAAAAGTGATTTATGCGTATTCCGCTCTCTTGAAATTTTACTCTGTAGCCATGTTATGGTGGATAAAAATCTAAGAATTATTTTTGTTTTTCTCGACCCAAAATTGTATTTAGCGTCTGGAGTCGACGTTAGAGGGGGGACGCTCAGATATTGTTTCTGTTTTCAGTTCATTGTTAGCAGACTAAAAGCGGCGAAGAAAACCGGACAGCGCTTTACGCAAAATGAAACCCCAAACTCCTGATTCTTTGTCTTAAAAATGCAAATTCGCTTTTATTGTAGTCAATTATACTAAACAAATAGATCACCCAGAGTAGAAGTCTATTTTTCGTTTCGGTCGAATAAAATGTAATCTCGTTTCAGTAACGATAAAGGACTTTTGAATTTCGCCAAAATATTCCATCAATCTTCGGAAAAATATTTAGCAGTACCTAGTTACCCTAATCCTAAGAAATTTGATATGTAGCGTGGGGAGTTTTCGTAATTTTTTTTCTCTCGGGTCAAATGACGGCTCGTTTAAACTGCGCCCCGAAATGAGTCCAAAGCAAAACGTTAGAAACAAATTACTGAGAGTAAAAAAAAAAAAAGGGCGTGTGGGGTAAGTTTGTATTGAATCTTTCACTGTAGTGACTAAGATATTATGTGAATTCAAAGGAGATTTCATTTTTTCAAAATAGAAGCAGATGTTTAGCTGAAAGAATAATGCCGCAGCATCGGAAGGAGGGACTGCGCGTGCGTAATGCAACCAGTTGTTATTTACTTTTTCGCTGAAAGTGAATTGTACCAGTGAACAAGTTTTCATTCTCATTTCTACTCCTTGCCTTAAAAGATAAAAAAAATGCAATCACCCAAGGAATCGCCGACGGATCAGAATTTACCAGCTGTAGTTGAACTTAATGTAGGCGGTCAGCTTTATACGACTTCTCTTCCGACGCTCTTGAAAGATCCTGACTCGCTTTTAAGCGCGATGTTTAGCGGCAAGCATAAAATCCCTCGAGATTCACGCGGTCGGTTCTTCATCGACCGCGACGGAATGCTTTTCCGCTACATTCTGGATTATCTTCGTAATTCCAAGCTCGCCTTACCGGAAAACTTTAACGAGAGGGAGCGCTTGCTCGTGGAAGCGGAATATTTTCGACTGAAGGGCATAATCAAGGCTTTGCAGCGAGAGAAAACAGGCAGTGATAGTAGAAATATTCGACCATCTGGTTTTCTATCTATTGGTGTGCGCGGGACATACGCCTTTGGACGCGACGGTCTAGCTGATGTTAAATTTCGAAAGCTCCAACGTATCCTGGTTTGTGGTAATGTCGCCTTAGCACGGGAAGTATTTGGTGAGTCGCTGAACGAAACGCGAGACCCTGACCGGGACGAAGCACGCTATACCAACCGTTTCTACCTGAAGCACAACTATCTGGAAAAAGCTTTCGATCAACTGCACGATAGAGGGTTCAAGCTTATCACAAGTTCGGCCGGCGGAGCGGGGTATGATCCTGAAAGCGAAGAGACAAAATGGAACCACTTTAACGATTATGTGTTCTTCAGACTGTAATTATTCATTGCTAGTATTTGTACTTTTTACGACCGAGGTTGATCGTCAGACGATACCTTCATCCAGCCATCAGTGGTTTCAAGGCATCGAACGATACTGAAGTAAAAAATAATCTCTGTACTCTTCTTTTAAACCGGGATATTTCATACAGACAATATTTCCCGATTGTTTACCGAAGTACAAGTTATACTTTCTATTTTTATGAAAAGTGAAAAAGTTATTATTATTATTTTTTTTTTTTGTTCAGAGGCTCGTTGAAGAGGTTGCAACGCCCCTATGAGAGGTATCATCGCCCTTCTACTTAAAAAAAAGAAAAAGTTATCTCTTGTTTTTAGTTCATACTGCATTGCTGCAATTTTCAAGTGTTATAATACCGGAATGCACTAAGAAAACATTACTAGGACCAGCTAGGGAACTTGATTAATTATTGCTCGTTAGTTGGGACAAAAAATTTTCTTCATTCGTATTTCGGTTGAGTTCATCAGTTCTTGATTTGAAGGTGAAAGTTTTGTCGAGTTTAATCGATTAAAAATAAATCGAGTTGTTTAAAAGGGGAACATTAAGGATCCATCAAGCAAAGTCACGTTGCGTAAATTAGATATCTAAGTTTACCTTTTCCTCAAAGGCAAACGAAGTCAAACGGGTAAAATAAACAAATGCACAATAGGCGTGAAGATTTTGGCCAAACGTTAGAAAGAGCAGTATTGTTTTGGCTTGGGATTTATTTAGCAAAGTTTACGCTCTGAGTATTCTTACGTATATTTTGCTGCTTTTTAACACAAAACGCGCGAACGTCATAAAGGTATTTGTCATATTTCGCAACTGGTAAATTCAAAACTGAAACAAATGTTTTTTTAACATGCACGTAAAGTGGGAACGAACTGAAATTGAATTTAAAAGCTTAATTAGGATTGGAACTAGTAGATGTGTCAAAGGAAATGCCATGTTCGAAACCCATGTACAGAATTATGATCGAGCAATGAAAATAAATTCTTCTAATTGATCCATGATATGTTAATGTATATTCGACAAGTATTTGTAAATTGTGAAATGAGGAATTAAAAACAGTCACAGACCGCCAGGGTCCTAACTAATACTGTAACTCTAATTTCCGAGCGTACGATTGCGAAGTAACTTTCTAACTCGTAATTTCGCTACGAACTTGTTTAAAAAACTGTACGACATAAACTTGATATGTCATTTATCAGTGTAACCGATGTTCAGAGTTCGACTGCGATATAAGATACATCATTTTCAATGCCGTTCAGAAAAATTGGAAAAATACGTCACTGGTGCGACTGAATTTTCGCCAAGTCTCGGTGATTTCTAAAAAAAACATATATCGAAACCGTAACTCGATTAGGATTTTAACATCCTGAGGATTTGCACTTTCCACACAGAGAATATACCGAAGATTTAAGCAAAAAACAAGGCAATAAAATTAGAAACTTTTGCGGCAACTTTGGCGATTTCTATATCAAATCTTATTTCGGCGGTTTTGCGTTCGTGTCGTATTGAAAACTTTCTGGCTTCGCTTGCAATATTGATAATTGCATATCGCTGTAAAGATTTCTTATGAAGGGTATACAAGAATAAATAGATTCTACCCGTCAAAGACCAGTGAAAGGCAGGTGGAAACGTTTTGGATAATTAGTGTCAATTATCATAATCATCGCTGATATTACTGAAAGGGACCACCAACTTGCCATTCGACAACGTGAAGCATTTCCTTGGTAACATTGAGGCTTAGCGACGTTGACCCCAAATAAATTTTTGAGAGTCAGTGAAACTTCTAAGGTAAACAAAGTTTTTTTTTTTTTTCATATGTCGATGATCCAAGACACTCGGGGATTATATTACTTCACCAGACGCCAACCTCGCTCCCAGGGCTTTTCCCTTTTTGAATATTTTGGCGGGCGGGAAAAGCCCTGGGAACGAGGTTGCACCAGACGTCTCTTAATATCTTATGAATGTCTCACAATAAAGCAATTTGAACAAGCGTCTGATTCGATAAAGAAGTTAGAAGGCTACAGATATCATTTGTGGTGCACAAGTCGGCAAATCGCGAGCGTTCTTATTTCCTGGAGGCGTCTCCGAATTTTTTTTGATAGACGGAGATTCTTACGTGATTATTCATGGTAATAATCATAATTTGACAATGAAAAACTGCGATAAAATATTATAAAGCATGACACGACGTTTCGACGTTTCCAGAACGTCATTATCAAGTAAACTAAAATAATAAAATCGAGTATATATATAATGAAGCGGTGAATAAATTACAAAACGTTAAAAGTTAAACAAAGAGTTTAGCCCTAATGGAATCGCTCTGGGTGTTTAAATTGGGCCTTATTGTTCTTATGTACAACATTTCATAAACAAGACAATCCCATTTCGTGCCGCATTTTTTAAGCATTCTAAACTGGCTCTCATTGAGTAAGTCAATGTTCCCATGGGCATCTCTCAGGTGGCGACCAATGGCAGAGTATCGATGATCAGCAATGCGTTGAAACAGATGGCGCGTCGTATATCCGACGTAATTTGAATCACACAAATCACATTTAAAACAGTAAACAACACTATGCTGATTTAAGATGCGTGGCTTGATTTCTTTAAGCTTTAGGTCCTGCTCAAGTTTCTTACTGGTGTAGACTGGTTGTACATCAATGCCAATTTTTGAACTGAGATCGCGCATTTGTCTTTTGGCAATGTTCACTGAGATTTGATCTTTGAAAGGAATACTGACTCTTAAAGTTTCAACAGATTTTGTCTTAGTATCTGGTGTAGAGGAATAATCACATTTGTCGATAATAAAGTTCACCAAAGAACTAGGGTAACCAAGGCGATGAAACATAGATTTTAGATGCCTACACTCATCGACGAATGCTTGATGCGTAGAGGACAATTCCTTTGCACGATGAACCATTGTTTTGATAAGACACTTCTTGTAGCGCAAATCGGTGTGACTTTGAAAGTGAAGTAAAAGGCCCGTGTTCGTAGGTTTACGATAGACCTGAGTCTCCAGCTTGTTGCCGTTCTTTGTTATCAACGTTCCAATAAAAGGAATTGAATCGTTGTTGGAAAGTTCCATAGTGAAATGAATACTAGGGTGGAGTCCATTGAGTACATTGAGGAAACTTACAGCTACATCGAGTCCAGGCATTATTGCAAGCGTATCGTCGACATAACGCTTGTAATAAGAAGGAAT